TCGACTGCACGCCTTGATCCCATAGCTCTAGTGCATCCAATGTCCAGGATTGCAATAGTTGGCGGGAAGCGATTCTCAGTCAAAAATGAAATAGCCTGCGTCTCCTTCACTTCTTCCTCAGCGCTCATAAGCGCAAAGCCATCAGGAGCACTTGTGAGCCTCTCCTTTGACAAAGAGTACCTCACAGGGGCACTCATGCCATCGAAGATCATCTCACCATTGTTGACCTTACAGTCAGCTTCATCTTGACATGAGGTCATCATGCCTGACAGCAAGTTCACCTCACTGTCATGGACTTCAGCTGCTGTTGTCACACAATGCGCAAAGAAACCTTGGTGGCTTCCTGATGCTTGTGAAGATCTTGACGGTGCAGGCAAGGAGCGTGGCTGTTGTTGATTTGCATAGTTTGCATCTTGTTTGCCATCTCCTTTATCCTTTCCTTTTCCTTTCTTGCCTTTTCTCTTGCCTTTTCCTTTTCCTTTGTGGGAAAACCATGCTTCTTCAAGCTGTTGCCAAAAGTCATAGGCATCTTCATGTTCTCCTTGAAGATAGTCATTCATATCTTCGGCAAGAATGGCATCATATGTTGCTTGGTTTGACTCCCAAGTGTCCTCATAAGGATTCTCCTCAAAATACTCATCTGGATAGGTTGGCGGTTGCTCATCAGCATAGTGGCCCTTACCTCGTCTCTTTCCTCCTTTTCCTTTTCCACGAGGTCTGAAGAATCTGCGGCCTGATCTTCCTTTGCCTTTTCCTTTTCTTCTTCCTTTTCCTTTGCCTTTTCTGGCTCTTCTTCCTTGGAATCTCCTCTGGAACCAAGAGAAATTCTGTTCATCATATACCCAAAAGACATCGTCCAGGGCATCAAGAAATCCTTCTATTCCATCTTCTTCATCTTCGGCCCAAAAGCCATATGTACCATCGAGTTCTCCTTCTTCAAGCACGAGGAATGATCTTCTACCTCCAGCACCTGTCGGCTGCATCAAAGGATTGTCTACTGAAGTCTTTGTCGTGCAGAACATCTCAACGAAAACTGTCCTCAACTCTGTTGTGGAGTATTGCTGAATTCTTTCCGCCCTTGGAGCTACTCCATTCATCACTGCTTCAGCTTGCATCTGAGCTTGTACCTGAGGATGTGCTTGTGTGACTGGCTCCAAAATATCCATCCAACTGCTCATAAGCCTTTGGAGTAAAATCTGAAATCTTGTCATCCACTTCATCATGTCAGCTGATCCGCGATTGAAGCGCACGAATTGCATAAACCTATACAGGAATACATTGGTTGCTCCTTTCACAAAATATGGTCGTAGTACTCGTTTGAAATAATCTACTCCAGCTCCTGGTGGATCATTCGCCTTCAAAGCATCTCTGTCTAAAACACGTTTGTATACAGCTGCTTCTCCTTCTAATCTGTTCCTCAATGCTGGTCCTCTCTTCTCATCCTCCAGCTCGGTGATATCACACCAATCGTCTATGGCATCCTCATAGGAAAACCATGAAGTCTTTCCATCATAAGATGGGGGCACCTTTGTAGTGACCTGTGTTGTCATTGCTATAGCTGCTGGCTCTCTTCTCACATGCCTATTCACATAGGCTGCTGGCTCATAAGCCACATCCGCATCAGGCTCTTCCCAGTCGTCAATCCAATCCATGGCCGTTTGCCTAAAAGCAAGTCTATGCCTAGGAAAGGAGCTCACCTGGGTCTTCCAGGATCACTGCTCCGCTACCACTGAAAGAGTGACTAGGGCGTACACGGTTGAGGTGCAGACCGCTAGTGTCTTTTTCTACGCAGAGTCTTATCCTCTTGACTTCTTGAGCCTTATGGCAGTCAAGCATGGACACACTAGATAGGTCACTGGAGTGGAACCTGTACAAGTAGGCCTCTACATTTCAGCGGGGGGGGGGGGGGTGATTAATCAAGGGACTACATTAGAAAGGCACGACCGCACGGCGCATTGTTTCGCTTAACCATGTTCTCTTCAAACCCGATTTTGATACAATCTTCAAGCACGAAACAGCGGATCTAGCTTGTAGAAAGGCACCTTCATTTATCTAGAGTCCCATACGCACCTGGTCGTGTTCAGTAGTGGCTCGCCAATGCTTTTTATCAATGTCTTCTTGTAAATAGGAGCGCCTGTGATGTCAATTCTGATGGGACAATAGTACCCAGCAAAGCTCTCATATTTCAGCGTACTTCGTGGACTTGATGTTAGCGACATGCCCAACCGCCTGTGTGGGCAGCACAACACACATTCAGCGTCAAAAAACATTCAACACATATTGACAATAGACATATCGAACTGTTTCAACCCCTTGGGCCATCTGATGTGCTGGAACCAGTTTCAAGAACCAGTTTCAAACAATGCGCATATGTTATTGCAATCTAAAATATGGCGTTGCCCACTCCCACAGCATTCATCCTGGCTTTTCTTTCGAGACATATCGTAATGGACGTTTTTTTTTGCTTCCTTGAATGCCTTTGTGCTTCAGAAGGGTGTCTAGACATGGCATTCTTCTGAACACACTTTTCATGGACCACACACAGTTACGGAGGAAGTGGAATGGACTGGTGAAGTCGGATGAAGTCGGTGGCTTCCAACTGTCTTGGCACTGCTCATGTTGGAAGCGGTGTGGGGCTTCGTTCCCTATTCCCTTTCAGCCTCTGCAACCGGCAACACCCGAGTTTGAACTGGTTGGAGTCATAGCTCACGGAAGTGACTACCCCTTCCTCCTGGAAACCATAGCGAGAACGCAAAACAAAGCAGAAGCAAATCTACGTAGCAGTTCATGTCTGGTTGTTGCTTTTGAACATGGCAATGTATGGGGCTCCTGGCAAAAAGACGTTGTTGCTTGCTGGCAAGATGAGAGCAAAGCCGTCATGCGGCAGAAAAGGCGCAAGCCTGTGGCATTGCTTGGGCCACCAAAAGAACCTGCTTGTACTGGAAACCCGGGCAAGTTATACCAACCGCTGACGGCGCTGCCCTCTGGACAACTGATTGAGCCAGAGAATGCATAGAAGACTCTCTCCTGACAGAAGGGTGGTCTCTCCACATGACAAATCAAACAGTATATAGTATACAGATGTATACAGTAACAGTATGAACACAATTTCAAACCTGCGGTTGGGATGATCCAGGAGTCTGCGCCAGCATCTATCTGCAGGCAATATGGCAGGGTTGACTTGTCCGATGCCACCACAGCACCTGGGGGACATCTGAGTCCCCAAACACCTCCACCAGACTGCACACTTAAGAAGCCCACACTGATGACCTTGTCAATGTCTGCAGCATTCCCTGTATAGTTGAAGGGTAGGTCATGGGGGTCTCCAAAGGGCACCGTGTAATAGGATTGGTCTCGAAGAATTTCACTCAGCTGGCCCATGGTCATGCCACCACTAGCAGTGTCAATGGCAATGCTCGGCTCGATCTGAGCAGACTCTTCCATCCTGTTCAGCGCAAACCATGCAGTGTCACGAAAATCTGTTCAACGAATAACAGTGACAGTCTTATCAGCCTATAGTCTGTGCAACCTTGCAAGTACCCTTTTCTCGATGGTGGGAAAACATAAGCATTTGGCTGGATGATCAAGTGCAGCCTAGGCTCAGCACAGGACATGTTTTTTGAACAACTTGTGGTTGATATTGGCTTCGGAAGATGCTTCTTGCTTGGCACAAATCGCTGACTTTCACAGCAGCGTTGCTTGCGCAAAGTGTCGAGCGCCCCTGCACCTGGACATTTGTTGCTTCACCTCGTTTTCAGGGGAGCCGTTGACTGGCAAACTCGAGAAGTTACCAGTTCTGCCTAAGAAATGCCTTAACAACCTGAACATCAAGCACGACGGCGATTTGCTAGTGCAACAAGTTTTTTCCCAATGATATCCTAGGCTGGTGAATATTTTGCGCCGGCGGCATGGATGATGGCCACAATTGGGGAAGTTAAAAAGCCAAGGCATTTGATGACGTTTGTAGTGCGGTGAGCGCTCTGAATTTTGACGATCTTGGTGCAGTTTTGGGCCAAATGGCCTGAACAAATGAGATGTGTCCAAACCCTGCTGTGGTGGAGAGATTAAAAGACAAAGAAAAAGTAGGCGCAAACACAAGACGCTGCGAGTACACATGAGCAGCAGCAGCAGTGGTAGCAAAAGCATGGCAGCACTTCTTTGCGCAAAACTACAATTGCAACATTTTTCTTTTGGGTACTTCTGTTCCCATACCTCCTCTAAACCTTTTTGCTGGCCAGGAGAACCCTCTAAGCCCCCGCCTGGCAAACAACTGAATAGAATCTGATCAAGATTCGCAGCCACAATATGAATTGCTGGGGCCGTAGTGTATGACTCTTTCTCCTGACAAGCAAACGGCTAACTCAAGGTAGCGACTAAACCAAGCTCAAGATTATGGACAATTCAAACTAATTGTGGCGGCAACGTGTCCTTGGCGGAAAAACTGTCGAAATTTGGAATTGTCAAGTTGAGAAGCTTTGCATCAGCATCAGGGTTTGCAAAGCTGTTGATTGCGTCTGTGACGACTGATAGAGATGTTTTGCAGCTCTGAAGTTCCATAACTCCAGGTAAATCGTTCGTCTGGATCTTCCAGTGCTGCGTCGCAATGTCACTGCAGTCCTGCAAAACTCGCAATTCCAAGTGAGCGCAAGCGCGGGCAAGTGAAAAACATGTGGGAATCCCAAAGCCGAACCGCAGAAAAGACGAGGGCAAAGTCATGTGACATGTTGGGCCCGTCATTTATCTAACAAGCTCATCAGCGAGAACTTGGAACATCTACACATGTCGCACATGAGCCATGCTTTGACCTCAGCTGAGGACAATTAACACGTGCCATGAGAGAAGGAGCAACTCAACCGAATGGAGGCTGTTTGGACAAACCACACTTGCCATTAGCAAACGATCGTCGACACGCAAGCCAGGTTTTTGCAAGCCACACAGTTTTGCAAATGTACACTTCAAGAAGCACAACCTTTCCGCACGAGTGAGACAAAAGCTTTTTAACTGTGATAATGCTGTTGGATGTTTCTCAAGATGCCGCAAGCTGTTGATTCACTCAAAGAAAGCGAGTTGCTAACTGCAACATATTGGGCCTCTGCAACATATATGCGAGTGAAAAGCAATGTGATTTCAGAACCTTGAAATCGGGCTTCACATGGACTTACAACATTGTCATGGCCAAGTCATTGTCATTGAATTAATTGTGTTTGGGGTGGGGGGGAATCGGTTGCAGAGCATCGTCAACTTGATGTCTCTGCTTGAAGCAGTGAAGTTGCACTAGCAGCGCTTGCAAGAGATATGTCCACCTAGGAAGCTGTACAGCAAGCTCTCCTGGTTGGTTTGGCCGCTGCGTGAGAAATGGAAAGCTTGACAGCTTACCACATGCCTGGGTGGGATGGGGTCAGCACTACACTCTGCGAAAAGCGGGCTAAGGCCACCATCGTCGTCATCGTCATTGAACGAGCAAGCAGGGCGACAAGCAGTACCCACATTGAACCCAGCAGGCCCTCCTGGCTTGGGCGCACGAAGCAACATTGAGTACACCAATCGGACCACAAGACTTGCAGCGCGTAAGTGAATTTGCAGCTATATCCACAGGAATAGGTTTGACCCCAATTTCATGCTCATATGTTAAGCCATGCTCACCGTTTCGCTGGCTGAATGACCATGTCGATGAATTATATGGACCACCACACGCGCGGACAGGAGACTGACAAATAGAACAACTGGAACAAAAGGCAATGTGCTCGCGGAAAGAACACTTATTGAAACTCCCGACATGAATTTGCACAGCAAATTCAAATTGTTTGCTCAACCAGTTTAGCCAGCCCAGCCTCAAACTGAACGGGGGTCTCATGAGCAGGATCTGAATTGATATCGGTCTTGTATCTCCGACAATACACCATCGGCGTTTCAGCCTCAGCAAAATTGGTATGCAGTGTGAAGCAAGGCTGTGCGCACAAGTTGAAAAACAAATAAAGAAAGCTCTGAATTGATTGGCGGCTAAAAAAATCTTTGCCCAACTGGCTCAGCAACCTTTTTAAATTTGATTCCAGACATCAAAGCATCGTCATCACAATTGAAAAATAGAATCTGTGCCGCAGGAGACACAGAATGCTCCACATCTTCAGGGTCTTCTTGTGCATATTTCGATCCAACGTGTGTGCAACCAAAAGAATAATTCACTTTTCTCGAATAGTCAGGATTAGGAGATTCCTTCGGCCACACCATCTCCGTGAGAATCGTTGGATGTGGACATTCAGGAGTGAAGTCAGACACCTCCTGTACGTCATGCCACGTCGTCTCTCCGTATTTCTCCAGGAAAGGAGAAGTGTGACACTTCTGCCATGCATAGTCTGCTGTGTAGCCCCTGTGAATTGTGATTTCCAGACTGCCAACAGAATAGCAAGGGTTGTACGGCAGTTGTCCCCACGGGAAGATCACACGTGTTCTTGGGCCCCAATAGCTCTGAGTGGGAGCGAAGCTTTCCTTCTTCGCCTGCAAGCATTTAGAAAGGTCATCCAAAGGCTTGAATTTGCCTTGAGATCCGAAGATGTCAAACTGCGATGTGGCACCTGGAACCAAGTGATCTGCAACAAACAACACGGATGATCCATTGTTGGTCGTCATCTGCACAAAATAAGTGGCTGTCTGATTGCCCAAATGGAAATATGCTAGACGCTCGTTCTGCCAAGCAAAGAATGATCTGCAATCGCTTGATACCACCATGGCATGCCCAGGGCCTTGGGGCTGATTCAGATCGGCGTGAAGGCAGAGTGTGAGATTGCCAAGGTCATAGTATAGAGCGATGCGGAAATGGCCTCCGGAGCACGACACTTCAACCGAGTCAGACATTCTGCAAATGGTTCTAAACCGGTCAAGCCATCATACGTACCATTTTGTATGGGTCAAAACCAAATTAACCATAGATGGGGTACGGTGTACCCTTTTTGTTTTGCTTATTCTGGGGATGGTGACTGGAGACGGCAGGTTTTGACCCAGAAACACCATGTCAATGTGTATTCGGATGAATTCTTGAGCGGGAATTTCGTCTCACTGTGTCTGTCTATGCGTTTTGAGATGTTGTAATTTTGAATTGAAAGGATCTGAACAAATCTGACCAATATTTGTGAAGTGAGGTCACCAAGTGTTTGTAAAACGCAAAGTTTCGATCCCACTATTTTAGCAACGGCCTTCCACTGGGCCAGTCTGCGGTGAAAAGGCCAAATTCCCAAGCTTTAGCAGCGAGGCATTTGACGCTTCGGATGTGGCGGACCAAAGCTTCTGCGCAGTGTTGGTGATGTCAAAACCGAAAAACAGTTGCCAGATTGGAAATACCACAGGTACCTGGCAGCTCAGTCATGCGCCAAGAATGCAAAGCCAAATCGTGAACGGGCTCCATACCAACATGTATTGAATAAATGATGACACATGATGAAACAATACAATGCAATGCAGTAACTCCGGCAAGTGGTGACGCTAAGCCTGAAACATGCAATATTAATCGATATATTTACTGCAGCCCATGTAGCCCACATTGTACGTTTACAGGTGGCAAGCATGATCTACTTACACTCTGCATGCTCGTGATGCTCTGGGCAATGCTTCCAGTGGTCGAGCCAGTAGGGACCATAGGGGCTTGCCAAGCATCAACTGAAAGGAGAGCTGCGTCACCCAGTTGACTGTAAAGCAGTCAAATGCCAAAAGAGAGTGTGTAGATATTGCAAATGAGCATGGACAAATCAAGGGCTTTGGAAGACAAACAACACATCGTCAGCAAGTAGATTTAGGGATTGTGGGCACCACCATTGTCTTGAATTCAAAAACACTTTCAATAAGGAACATGTTTCTGAAACACCCTTGCAAGCATGCAGAA